TTTAATTCATGGTTGACCTCGATTATATCCTCCCCTCTATCACTAACTAATACATCATTCTTTTTTTAGAACTTTAACCAATTCCAACTATGATCCTTATCAATATCATATCCCAGCTAGCCACTTTTTGTTCTGAAATAAGTAGAATTTTATGAAAAGAGATTTTGTTTCCTTATATGTGACATGTTAGCCAAAAGTTTGGGGAGATAGTTTTTTGTGTAATCACTTCAGTTGAACAAGTAAAGGGCTATGGTACAAGACAGATGAATCATGTGAAGCAACATGTTCGAGATATGGATGGGCTTACTCATTTTCTAACATATTAGACAACAATGTTGTTGGTTATTTTAATAAACAGGTTAAGCATTTTTTTTAGCTATTTTGACATCATTTAGTGTAGCTAATTAAAAGTTAAAACACCTTATCCGTTTGTGTAGCGGTTTACAAAAGATATTTTCTTGGAGAAAGAACGGTGGCAAAGGTGTATAAAAGCTTATGATATAAGGATACTTGTGGAATGTAAAATTGATCCAAAGCTTCCATAAACTAATTTATCAACCATGATTCATCATCAGAGGCAGGTAAGACTTATTGAATCATCTTTATTAGCTTACCAAATGGTACAATCATTTTTCGTTGCATCATGTCTTTCAGGAAACTGATGAGAAAATTAGAGAGATCTCAATTGTCACATTTTCTACCTTGTTAGACTTAGGTATTGATTTACAAAAGGTACACACCAATTATTATGTCCTCTCACTTACTAGACTTAGGTTTTTTTTCCCACATCAAGTCCTGTACAGGTAAAGTGGCTGAATAAGTAATGATGTTTGTTTTGGATAAAGTGTTGTATGCTAAAAGTTTGTTTCTTTTCTAGATTAGTTCCACAATTTGATATTATGTATGTACTATGTATATTTATGTGCTCCATTTTATTTTGTAGAAGTTGAAGGGTTGAAAAGGAAATTGTCAAGCAAACTTGCTACTAATTCACCTAATATGCAACCTAATTGGTCGGTTTCTTCTACTTCTTCTCATGAGTGCATGTTGGTGATGAAGAAATTGTTTTATAATAATAACTCTAATTGTATGATGGAAGTTTTAGTATTGGTTTAATGTGGCACTTGGGGGAGTTTAGTTTATTAGAATTTGGTAGAATTGAAATTTAACTCCATTCCATAGGCTGTTTGGTTGAAAATTTCTATTGGAATGGAAAAATTCTCTTAAATAAGAGAATTCAAATTTTCCATTGCTTTGGTGATAGATTCCTTTCTCTTGTTTGTTGAATAACCAAAATACCCCCGAAAAGTTTGTATTGTAGGTATTTGGTTGAAAATTAAGTTGGAACTGAATTCCATCTGGCTTGAAAAAATCCCTCAAATGAAGGAGTTTCAATTTTAAAAGAGAAAAAGAAATAAATTACAATTATGCCATTTGTCATCATTTATAATTCATTCTTATTTAGCTCTTACTTGTGACATGACCTCAAATAGGAGGGTGTGGAGGCTTAAAAATCAGGGTAGATATTAGACTAAAAATTAAATATTAATAGCATTCCTTCTCATCCAAAATATGCTTTTGTTTTGGGGTATTTTAGATATTATACTAACATTGACTTAGGGTTTTGCAGAATGGCGAGTGTATGGCTATATGGTGGAGGCCAAACTTTTAAACTATCATCTACCCATATTACCCTCCACACATCTCAAAACCAAAAGTTAAAGAATCTTTGACTTAATTTTTATAATTATCTTTGCTTTTTTTTTTTTTTTTTTTATCAAGTATTTCCCCGGATAATGATTTTTAATTTGAGGAAATGGAAGGAAAAAACGAGGAAATTTTGTATAATATTAGAAATTAATGGGGAAATAATATTGAAATAATTTGATGTTTTTAAGGGTTGTGAGAAATAGCAATGTACTTTACCAAAGTTCTCGATTATGTCATCCTACATTATTAAGTAGCAATCTACTTCATTTAAGTTGTAATCAGGAATTATGGCAAAGTACATTGGTGTTACTATTAAAAATAGGTTGTTATTATGAGTAAAAACTTGAAGTATGTTGTATAATCATGAACAAATCGAAAATGGTTTCCTATTATAATTTTAGAAAAGTACGTTGTTGTTTCCATCATTAACACTTTTTTATTCAAACTTCAAAAGGAGGAATATTGTACTTAAAATCACATTTATGGTATTTGATAATATATAAATCTTTCCAACTAACAACTCTCGATCATAATCACAGGTGTGGAATCCACGAACTAATCAAGAATGATACGTTGTTGAAGCCTTGAGAATTATCTACTTTGGATATCTTCTTAAAAAGTAGATTGCTGCTATTTTTTAGTATTATGCATTAAATGTCGAATGTGGATCGAAGTTTATGGATTTAATGTATGTCGAATATTGAAACTTTTTCACTTTTATATTTGTTGGTTTTAAAATATAGATTTAATGTATGGTTTAAGATTTTTCTGTGTCGAATATGTAATTATATTTTATTTTTTCATGAATTTATAATTTTCTTATAATGCTAAAATCCATCGCTAATCTGTCACATAAAATATGTCGGTAATCCGTTAGTGAGCTATTCTGAAATTCCGTCGGTAATGAGTTACTAAGTTATTCCATAATCCTTTGGTAATCCGTTAGTGAGATATTCCGTCGGTAATCCATTGCAAAAAGTATTTCCATAGGTGATCCGTTACTAATTACCGACGAAAAAATCCATCGCTAAAATTTGTCGTAGCCATCGGAAATCTGTTACAAACAATTAGCGAAAAGAATATACCGAGAGATTTTGCTCTGTTACAATTTTGTCGATAAAGAGTATTAGCGACGGATTACGGTAAGTTTTGGCCATCAATAATGCTCTTCATTGTAGTAGTGAACACTAGTTTTTTTTTTTCTTTTGAACATAGAGAACATTGTAGATATATTTAAAGATAGCCATAAATATAACTTAAACCTATAACAAAAGCAAAATATTTACTAAAACTTGGAAATAAAACTATGTATAACAAAAACCGGCCAGGTATATTTGTAATGCTTATAAAGTTCTGGCCCAGAAACTCTCGTTAGAGAAGTTCCCTTTCCAAAAAAAATGCTAATAAAGTTGCAAAATGCTTACTAAAAGTAGCCACACTTGTAACCTATTCATAAATATGGACAAATTTAAGAGTCAATTCCATTCACTACCAATCAAAATCATTCATTAGTTAGATACTAACAACCATCAAAATGTCTTCAAAACCTCATAATTAATCCACACACTGATACGACAAGAATCAGTTGCAATCAGGTCCTTCTAGTTTTTTTTAGCATTGCACTGAGCAATTATCTCATTCAATAAAAAGTGGCCCGACTACAATTTTGCATTCCGTTAATGAATAGATGTTGACCTTGCGAAATAATCGATCCCAAGACATTTCTGATGTGGTTTGCGAAAATTTTGGACACCATGTTGTGTAACAATCCTTTGATATAAACTTTAAATTTAATATTTGATATTAGCTTGGTTTTATCAGCTTTGTTAGCATTTTGATATTATAGTATTGGTTGAGATTTATTAGGTTTTAAGTTTTTGTGATCGGGATATTAAGTTTTGCTATCAAGATTTTAAGTTTTGCTAGCTTAAATTTGAAATGTGTATCTCTAAGAAGATTCGACTTCAAATTTTCGATATATGGAATTGTGCCATAGGTTCTTACTAATTTCAGAGAGGGGTTATTTTTTCGCTAAGTTTCTCGAAAATCTTCATATCAATTCCCGAGTTTTGTTGTACATTCTTCCACGACGCTATCCAAGTATGAGGCTATCAGGAGTGGGCGTCTAAAAGACGCGTGATGCTGAGTTGGCACCATCAAAGACGCGTGAACACCGCCCAAGGGCCGGTGTTCGTGGTGTTGCGTGGATGGAAAGACGGAAGAAGACGGAGCTTTCTATTGGTTTGCTTTTTTTCCACCGTTTGCCCCTTAATTTTGTTGCATTTTTTTTAATCCATTGAAGTAGAAAAGAAAGAAAAAAAACGGGTTAGTACCCGTTTTCCAGTGAAATCGGGTGAAGACGACGAAGTAAGATGGATATTATAAATGTTTTAATTGAAGTTACAAATTTGGTCCCTAAAATTCTGTAACTTAATTCTATTACACCCTTTCACTTTTATCTGAATTATATTAAACCCTTAACTATATATAATTATGTTTATTTAATTTTAAAAGTTAATAATATGTTTATTTGATTTTTTAGTTAGTAAAATGATTACTTATAATAATTTTTTTTATTTAATCTAATGTTTTAAAATTAAAAAAATATAAATATAAATGATGTGGATCGGTAACCTTTTTTGTTTTTATTTAATATAATGTTAAAAAAAATATGTTTTTTATTTAATATAAATGTTACAAAAGATAAAAATAAAAGTAAAAAAATGAATATTGTTAGTGGTGACCATTTCCAAGGTGTAGTGGGTTGGTGGTGAAGCTGATGTGGCGCAGAGGTGATACCATTTTTTCGGTGAGTTTGTAGTGACCACTCCACATAGCCTGATGGAAAATTAGTATTTACTATTTAAAATAGAATAATTATCTAAAATATAGATTAAATAGCACTTTTATAAAATTAAAGGTATGCAATTGCATATCCTTATTAGACGACACATCTGTCCCTGGAGCCTAGCACCTTGCCTGCACTAGCTTGAGCAATAAATATAAAAAAAATAAAAAATAAACTTAATTTTGCGGAAAAGTTTTAAGAAAAAAAAATCATAACAAATGTTTATATTTGGATTTGACTAAGTATATATGCACTAAGGATTTCACATGAGCATGACACGTGCGTAGCTGAATGACCACATTTGTTATTTTTGAATGACCGAGTTTGATGGGCATGTGTGTCCTCTCATTCATCCAGGACTAAAGCTGTATATAAGATCCGAGTTGCATGCCATTCCTAGTTTCATAATTAACGCTGAATCCAAAACTAGAGAAGCAAAGAAATGGAAAGGAGCAAATTAATTATAATTTCAGTCGTAGTTACATTGATTTGTTGTTTAGGGGTTGTGCAGGGGTTCACGTATGACGACAAGGAGGTTCATACGGAGAAGGGGAGGGCGGCTATGTTTGAAAGATGGAGGAGCCACCACAAGTTGGAGGAAATAAGCGTGGAAGCCAAAAAGAAGCAGTACAAGACGTTCAAGTCTAGACTGGAACATGTTCACAAGACAAACAAGGCCAACTTGGGATTTAAGTTGGAGCTGAACAGGTTTGCAGGGATGACTCTCGAAGAGATACATAGCAAGTTTACTGGATTGAAGGGTGCACCGCCGAATTCTTGCCCTGCAAAAGATAACTGCCGTCCTTGCCCGCCAAATGACAGCGGTTGCCCGGGCGGTTGTTGCCCAGCGAAGAACAATTGTTGTCCTGGGGGTTGTTGCCCGGCAAAGGATGGTGGTTGCCCGGGCGGCTGCTGCCCGGCGAAGGACGGTGGTTGCCCAGGCGGTTGTTGTCCGGCACTGGAAAGTTGTTGCCCCGGCGGCAGTTGTCCGGCAAAAGACAGCGGTGGTTGTCCGGGGGGTTGTTGCCCCGGCGGCAGTTGTCCGGGGGGTTGTTGCCCCGCAAAGGATGGTGGTTGCCCGGACGGCTGCTGCCCGGCGAAGGACGGTGGTTGCCCAGGCGGTTGTTGTCCGGCACTGGAAAGCTGTTGCCCCGGCGGCAGTTGTCCGGCAAAAGACAGCGGTTGTCCAGGAGGCAGTTGCCCAGCACAAGACAGCAGTTGCGCTGACGGTGGTTGCCCGGCAAAAGACAGCGGTTGCCAGGGAGGCAGTTGCCCAGCACAAGACAGCGGTTGCCCTGGCGGTGGTTGCCCGGCAAAAGATAGCGGTTGCCCAGGCGGCGGTTGCCCGGCGAAGGACAGCGGTTGCCCCGGAGGCGGTTGCCCTGCAAAAGATACCGAAACTATTTTCAAACCAATAGATAACACGGGCGGCGGTTGTCCGGGCGGCAGTTGCCCGGCGAAGGATGGCGGTTGCCCAGGAGGTAGTTGCCCGGCAAATGATGGAGGTTGCCCAGGTGGCGGTTGTCCGGCGAAGGATGGAGGTTGCCCAGGCGGCAGTTGCCCGGCGAAGGATGGCGGTTGTCCAGGCGGTAGTTGCCCGGCGAACGACGGCGGATGCCCGGGTGGTAGTTGCCCGGCGAAGGACGGCGGATGCTCGGGTGGCAGTTGCCCAGCGAACGACGGTGGTAGCCCTGGCGGTAGTTGCCCGGCGAAGGACGGCGGATGTTCGGGCGGCAGTTGCCCTGCGAAGGACAGCGGATGCCCGGGCGGTAGTTGCCCAGCGAAGGACGGCGGATGCCCAGGCGGCGGTTGCCCGGCAAAGGATGGCGGTTGCCCGGGCGGCAGTTGCCCGGCGAATGACGGCGGTTGCCGGGCGGCAGTTGCCCGGCGAAGGACGGCGGTTGCCCGGGCGGCAGTTGCCCGGCGAAGGACGGCGGTTGCCCGGGCGGCAGTTGCCCGGCGAATGACGGCGGTTGCTCGGGCGGCAGTTGCCCGGCGAAGGACGGCGGTTGCCCGGCGAATGACGGCGGTTGCCCGGGCGGCAGTTGCCCAGCGAAGGACGGCGGTTGCCCGGGCGGCAGTTGCCCGGCTAAGGATGGAGGTTGCCCGGGCGGCAATTGCCCCGCGAAGGACGGTGGTTGCCCGGGCGGTAGTTGCCCAGCGAAAGATGGTGGTTGCCCAGGCGGCAGTTGTCCAGCAAAGGACGGCGGTTGCCCAGGCGGTAGTTGCCCTGCAAAGGACGGTGGTTGCCCAGGTGGCGGTTGTCCAGCGAAGGACGGCGGTTGCCCAGCAAAAGACGGCAGAGAGGCTACTGCAAGTAAGGACAACTGGTATTGGGATTTCAAGTATCGTAATGTCACTGACGTCCCTGCCGAGATGGACTGGAGAAACCATAACGCCGTTACCCGTGTGAAGAATCAAGGAATGTGTGGTACGTAACACCGGCCTGCACCTTTTTTTTTTCAAAATCTAATTCCAACTTTTATAAACAGACAACCCAAACAAGTTCATTTCAATTTAAAAAAGCAAAGATAATTATTTAAGGATTTGATCGATGCATGGTTGGGAATTTGTAATATTAAACGTACGTACTGCATGCAGGGAGTTGCTATGCATTTCCAACAGTGGATTCCGTTGAAGGAATCCATTCAATCGTAAATGGCGAGCTAATAGAATTATCACCAAAAGAAATTATCGACTGTGCTAATGTGGGCGGATGTAACGGAGGCTCACCTCAAGATTCTTTCAAATACATCGCCAATAATGGAGGTCTAACTACCGAGAAGAACTACCCTTACAAACCTGTCGTTGAGACTTGCACATTACAAAAGGTAATGCATCGATATTAATTAATTGTTGATTTCACGTGCATTTATTAGTTATATTGAGGGATTAATTAAAATTGGCATGCATATGCATGTGTTTGTGTCAACTTTTTCAATTATGACAGGCGAAAGATATCGCCGTAGAAATTCATGGATATCAAGACGTCCCTAGGGACGAAACTGATGAGCATCTATTGAAAGCAGTTGCACACCAACCTGTAGCTGTTTCAACGTCATGGGGAGATAATTTAGCGTTATATAAAGAGGTAACTCAAAACTCACATACATAATATGTATATTATTGTTACTTTAAAAACTAACAAATGCTACCTAGCTAGGTAGCACCACATTCTTTCATATTTTACTATATATATGGATGATAAGGTAACTAAGGTAAATAATTTAATAGGGAATTGTGCAAGGACCATGCGACACGACAGTTTTGCATTCAACGCTAGCAGTTGGATATGGTACAGACCCGGATGGAACCAAGTACTGGATATTGAAGAACTCGTGGGGAGAAGAGTGGGGAGACAAAGGATACTACAAACTCCACCGTGGAATTCCTGACAAGAAGGGAATGTGCGGCATAGCACAATTTGCTGCTTATCCTGTCATTGAAGCCGATAGTGGAATACATGCCTCACCTGGTGCAGTTGTTAAGAGTATTAAAGATAAAGTTCTTAAGACTATTAAAGAACTCTAAACGTACGTGTACGTATGCCCAACTTCATTTCGACGTCACTGATTCTCCATTCTAAATAATCGGTTGCTGACGCCGATCCGATTCAGACAACTATTAATTTTGTCTTATGAAGCTAGAGCAAACTGTAGAATAAAATAGCTTGCATTAATCCTCTGTTTTGAAGAATTACAATATAGACACACACTAGTGGGGACCACGCTATACTCCAGAGAACATGGAATGTGTGGCGTCGATTAGTTTGCTTTTGCTTGGTAGTTTTGGGTTAAAAATGTTGTAGCTTTTTGGGTTACAAATAAAAACGTGCTAATGTTTGTGGTTAAAAGTATAAGTATCGTGGTCATTTGGGATAATAATATATGTATTTTGTTTTTTCTTATGGGTTAATGATTTGCATCGTTCATCAATGTAGAGCATGCATAATTATTAAAGATTGGTAAAATATATTTGGTTCTCTAAAAAAAAAAACTTTGAAATACACACAATGCATCGCTTTTTGAAATACACGCAACACATAAGTTGATTGATCAGTGGTGTAAGTAATGTGGGTGTCGGTGCTATCAAAAGGGTGAGCCTTCGTATATCAAATTTGAAACTTGAATCCTGGATTCGTCACTTGCCGTCAAATATGAGTAACGGTGGTACGTTAAAGCAAAATAAAGTATGTTACTATATCTTACATTAAATGATTTGTTTGGAAAAGGTAAATATAAAAATGTCATGTTTCAAAACAACTCATTTTATTTTTTGTATAAATATGCCTATTAAATTCTATCTTTTTTGGTAATTACTCAAGTGTCGAGACCCTTGAAACTTAAAAGAACAGGAGCCATTTGTTTCTCTTTGCTAAAAGTATAGCAAAATGAAAAAACCATATGTTGCTGTTTTTATTTATATATTTTGCAGTTCAAAAAAAATATGGTTTGCTTTTGTTTTGGTTTTTCAGTCTCTTGACCAAGATCGTGTGCATCCGCATATATGGGAATTCCCTCCGGCTTTTGAATTTGTACAAGAAATCAAAAAACAAATTAACGTTTTAATCAGGGGTAATTCTTGTCTCCTAAAAAGGGTATTGTTTGATGTATGGATAACCGTCCGTTTCTCAAACAAAGTGGGTCCGAATACATCTTGCACGTCCACTTGAGCTGCACCTTTCATGTTCGCCAACGTCTATGGATCTGACAAGATTACAAGACAAACTGAATAATGATAATAAATTATTATCGTTCCTGAAATAAAAACAAAAAGTAATAATATGATTCTGCAAAAATACTGAAATAAAAAAATTCGTTAATTTCCCCACTCAACTCATGGTTGAAGCTATTTTGTTTGATATGCTCCAACACCAAGATTCAGAAGTCGTCACCGCTCTATACGCTAAAATTTCACCGTTCTTTGAAAAAGAAACCCCTGAAGCGTCCGCGAATAACAACGAAGACCAAGAAGCAGACGAATTCTTCCAATTTTGTTGTCTGTGGAGTTTAGTTATTTGCTTTGAAATTGGTTTAACAAATTTCAAGATTTTTTTTGGGTTATCTTTAATTAACTCTGTCTATTGGATTTCCATCGGAAATTGGTACTAAGATTAAATCGTTTATTTCTATTGATTCTCATGATTTCAAAAAAAAATTTGTTCTTCAAGGATACACAGGTTAGTTGATATGAAAAGGTTAATATATATGAATCAAACGGTAAAACTTGCAAAGATTGGATTGTTATTTCTCTTTTAAATAATTTGCATAAATAACTTATTGATTAGTTTTTTTATTACAGAATTTGGCAACGTGTGATCTGTTAAACCGACCAACTTAATTGGTTTGGGTTAGTTGGGTTTCTGCAAATTAACATATTTTTTTGTCTTTTCATTCCTCACCTGAAAGTTCTTTTTATTTCAATTCTTGACTATTTGGAACCAAGAAAAGAAGGTATTTAATAAAGTTTTTTTTATTTCCATTCTTGAACTGTTATTCAGGAACATTTTTCAAGCTTCCGTTGATGGTGTCGACTCATTGGGTGTAAGCTCTTTGGTCAGTTCTTATACTCTATCTGCTATATAATCAAAGTTCTATTTCTTCATCTTCACATAACATTGTATATCTGTTACATAAATCTGAACATGGTGTTGATAATATTCCTACTCCAATTGTTTTAATTGATCAAGGTTTAGATCCATCTATAACTATTGTACATGTTAGCCTTGTTGATCGTGTTGGTAGCCTCATTCATACGGTAAATGACAAGTATACTTAGTTTTTGGACCATAATACTCTTGTACTTTTGAACAAACAAATGTAAGTTATGGCTAATAACCTTAAATTTCTCATGCAGATGAAGGCGTTGAGAAATCTTGACTTTACATATAGCAAAAGGAATTGTCATAACTGAAGGATCAATCATTGAAACAAAATTCTTTATTAGTCGATTGTGAGTACGCTTTATAGTAATTGTGTGTCACTTCTACAAAACGATGCTCAGAATCTTGAACGTTTGCTTACCGAATTCTTTCCTTATATATGTTATTTGATTGATTGTTAAGATGCTATTAGTAATTTTCATAATTTTCGTAACTTTGATATAAAGTCGATTGTTAAGTCTTTAGCTGATTTCATGATTGATGCAGGTGTTTGGATAACAAGAAAACAAGGTGCTGGTATGATTTTTCAAGTCTTTTTTAAAAAAAAAAAAAATCTAATCAACTCACTCCTTTATAATTTCGATCGTCCAGAAACTAAAATCTATTTGTGATTCCAATCCAACCATGAATGATACGGGCTGTAGAGCTGTTGAAAAAACATTTTGAAGAAACTAGAGAACATGAAAACACAGATTATAGAAATGTTTTCCTGTCAAACTTCTACTAAAAGTCACATAATTCTGGGAACTGATCATCGGATTGCAATACATCCATTGGCTAAGAGGGTGAGAGAAGATCAAATTAAGCAAAGTAAGTTTTCCAATTATTAAGTTAATGCATAAATCATAATTAGACTTTTTACAAATTTGCCCTTGGTTTTGTAGTATGGAGTATGTATTCGGTTTATACAACAGTGAACTACATTGAAGATCTAGATGAAGTGATTGATTACAAGGGCCCTTTTAGTAAATTTTACCTATTATTTTAAAATAAATTCTTATATATATAATTTGTTATTGATTAAGAATGGAAATATAACATCAAATGAGGAAATTGATAAAATATTGGCCTTAGAGAAGGTTGAAAAAGTAAAGATAATAAATAAGCTTCCATTATTGTTTTTTGTTTTCTTCAATGCATTATTTTCAATGACTCATTTCACTGTTTTCATTTGTTTGTGATGATGAAGGTACGAGTAAAGCTGTTGACATTGATGAAAATGAGGTAATATATTTCGTTATGACTGTTATTATTATTATAATTATAATAAAAATAATAATACTTATTTTCATTTTTATATGTGTGTGCAAGGTTTATGTTATTTACAACGTCACAAAGATCAAGGTCCCCGTTCTTCTAAGTATAGGTAAGTTATTGAATTTCCATAATAGTAAAAAACTATTTACCATTGCTGCAAATACAAATAAAAAAACGGAAAGACACAAAGCGTTTCTTTTTCTATTGGTGCAGTTTTGCTGCTGCATGGTTATACTATGGAGTCAATTCAGATCATTGTCTATTGAAATGATCATTAACCCTAGTGAAACAGTACCTTTAAAATGTTTACAATATAAGGTTTATTTTAGCAAAAGGAAAGGAACAAAGAACATAGATAAACATAAAATATTTTATACTCTTGGAGGTTTTTATGTTTATAAATCTTTTCATCTCAACATAGATTTCTCTGTTTAGAAAATGTAGCAGCAAGACAGCTCCAGTGAGATTTTTTTTTTGAGTTTTTTCGGATAAGAAAGTAAAAATAAAATTTTGTTGTATCATTTCATCAAGCACTTGGTGCGCATCATCAAAATTAGTTTTTACCCATACTACATTCTATTAATAAAGGGTTGAAGTAAAAAAAAAAAAAAAAACCCTTATATTTTCCAGATTAAACCTTTATTTATTGTCTGAAAAAAAAACATTGAATTTTTTCATTTTCCCTGAATTGGCCATTTTAGTCATTTTTTACCAAAAACAATTGTAAAATGTGATGTTTTTTTACATAAAAACTTAAAAGTTAAGGGTTTCCTTGGAAGCATTAAGAAGGTTGAAGGTTTTTTTTTTTTTTGAAAAAAATAGAAAGTTGAGGTGTTTTTGGAAAAAAAATAAAATAATAATACAAGGCCTTTTTCAGGCAAAAAAACAAATTTGAAGTTTATTTCGGAAAAAACCCAAAATATCAGGGTTTTTTTTTTCAGATTAACCCGTTAATAAAAAATAACGTTATGTAACAAACAAAATACATTGCCTATAACAAAGTTTAAACTGATGGAGCTTATGGATGCCAAACCATCATACGATACCCTTATTGAAAATCTCAAAAAAGAAGTTGGGGTCGTTTGGATCACCTGAAACAAGAAGGAAAAAATTATGTTTCTTTTATTGTAGATGTGTTTCTATTATATGACTTATATTTTATGGAAGTGTGTTTGATGTGTTTGTGGTTGTGATGCAGGGTTGATTTTCCTCAACTTGCAAATCAATGGAGTTGGCCTAAGAACACTCCTCGAAAAGGAGTCACTATGAGTCGACAGAAGTCTGGGAGTGGAAGAGTTGTTGAAGCTTCTCTTTCATCATCTCCTTCATTGAAGGGGAAAAGAGATGTGATGGCTAAACATTCAGGTAAACTTCCTTCACTTAAAGGAATAGCAATTTGCTTTGTATATATCATCCTCCTTACAATTCTACTTTCTATAGCATTAATTCTTTACTTGTGTTTTTACAGAGGCAATGGACTTCAGAGATTGGTGCAAAAATGAATGTGTCAGGCTTCTTGGATCCAAAGGCCTCATGTATGTTGAATATGTCTTCATTAATATAATATTATGTTCTACTACATGATACAACTTAAAACAAGAGAAAATAAACTAACACAACACCAAAGACGCACATGATTCCCCTCTAGTTACTAATATTTTTTATATTATATCTATTATTAATGTTATAAATACAATTATTAATTTATTTGTATTATTACATTTATAAATTATTATTTTATTTTTATCACTATAATTATTTATAGACTTATAGTTATTATTTATTTATTTTATTTATTATTATTATTATTATTATTATTATTATTATTATTATTATTTAATATTTATTATTATTATTGTGATATATATTTTATATGTGTGTATTTACGTGTATATATTTTAGTGTGTATGTATATGTATGTGTACTCTATATATCGTATATGTCTATGCATGTGTATATAAAAGAATGATTAAAAATTAAATGAATATCATAAAATTTAATGGTAAATAAGATTATATGTAGGTTTATATGATGTATAACTTGCTGAATATATATATATATATATATATATATATATATATATATATATATATATATATATATATATATATATATATATATATATATATATGAAGCCAAAGAACAATGTTTAATCATTCAAAAAAACAAATATGCAAAAGCTATCGTAGTTAATCTATAGGTAATTACTTACAGACAAGCGATGGATAATCGATATTCGTAGGTGATCGTAGGTATTTACCTACAAATTACCTACTATAGTTTTTGTATTTTAGATTTTTCGATGGTCAACTATCGTTTTTTTTTTCATTTCATTTTTTTATAGCATCACTATACTTTGATTACTTGGTTTCGACTAAATTATACATAAAATAAACGCATGTACAACTGGCTCCCATTACTCATTCAAACTTTTATCCTTTTTATTTTTATAAATGCATGGTATTTTCAATACAAAAACTATAAAGACACACGCATACATAAACACCCATATGTATGTATTATATTTAGTATATCATGTATGTGTATATGTATGTATTATATTTAGTATATCATGTATGTGTTAAATGATGGTTAATTGTATTTCAAGAACAAACATATATAGTTTTTGTATTGTGTATTATGTATAATAAAGGGATCTAACGGTTCACACAGTTTTATGTACATTTATATGATGTATAACTTGGTGAAAACAAAGTATTGAAAATATAATGATATTGTGAACAAAATGAAACGAAAAAAACAACATTTAACCGTTGAAAAATAGAAAATACAAAACGAACGTAGGTAATCTATAGGTAAATATTTAACACTCGGTTTCGAATTTCCTTGTTATTCGGAGCTTCGGCCCAATCTTTAGTGGTCATGAGGCCTAGGGCCTTAGGAAAGGAAGACTTCGGCCCTTATCGGGTGTGGGTGTTATGGTCTAAGTGATCCAAGTGTGCCTTTGCGTCTTCGGAGGTCAAGGGTATAATCGTAATTCGATATTTTAGGTCTTTTATGGATTTCGGGAGTTGTTTGGGGAGTTTTAAGGCATGGGTGTGTTGTTAGAAACATAGGGCTTCTCACTACCTTTCCATGGATATAAGGTTCGTTGGAAACAGACCAACGACGAAGAAGTTAGAGCCAAGTTAAGTTTAGGGTTGTAGGGTTTCCATGAGTACGCGGACGTACACATTTAGAACTCGGGGCGTAGAAGTTTAAATGGTCAGAGGTGGTTTGTGAGTATGTCGGGCGTACTCCCTTCAGAGCAAAACCCTAATTTCGGGGTTTCTACCCTATATAAACAACATTATAACACCCCTTTGGTCATTTTAAGCCATCCACCACCTCTTTTGACATACATAAAACCATAGATTGCATTGGGTAAGGATTGGAGCTTGAAAGAAGGTTCTTGGTGGTTTGTGTAAGAGAAGGAAAAGGTGGAAGACTGAACCTCTGGAGAAGAGCTTAGGGATCTAGTGTTAGCGTCTTCATTTCAAGACTTTAGAGGTATAAAGTCTCTATCTTGGCTACTCATTGAATAGATCTACTTTTGGGTTGGTTTATGGCTATTTTAGTCCCTTTGGCTTGGTCTTGAGCTAGGGTTGTTTTAGGATCTCAATCTAGTGGATTTGGACATTTTAAGGGTCCCTCATTCATAAAGGTGCAAACTTTGTGGAGTTTTTTTAGTTCATTCATGTATTAAGATGATCCATTAAGCTCTTTTGAGCTCTAGAGCCCCATTAAGTCATGTATGCTAGTAAAGTTGTCAACTTTACTTGAAAAGTGATCCATTAGAATAAGACTGGAGAGTTTGGAGCAAGGGCTGAGGTGATTAAGTTCTTAATGAGGAGAAGGGAGATTTTGGGGAGTACGATGTGTGTACCTATATGGTATGCCACGTGTACTGGCCTCAAAGGGCGTATGTTGGGCGAACCAGCTGAGTACATAGGGCATACTCGGTCAGGGTGAGTTTCTTGATTGTTGACCTTTTTGGACATTTGACCATTGACCAGAAGTTGATTTGGGCTTACCATTGGATATTTTAGGCCTTTTTAAATATTGAGCCTTCTCGGGGACAGGTCCTTGATGGAGTTGAGGCTAATTGGGATATTTGGGCCTCATTGGGTCTTGTGGTGTCATTTCGGGTTTGGGCTATTGTTTAGGCTTGTAATGATTGAGGTTTTGTTAGGCTAGCTATGAATATGTGTTTTGGTTTAGGAAATGTTAATAGGCTTCAAGGGAAGGCTCATGTGAGGGTTTGGGTTAAATTTGGAAAATTAGGCCACTAGTGGGCTTTATGGATCTTGTAGTTGGACCTTTTTGGTTTTGGGCTTGGGCCTCAGTTTTGTTTCATGGTGGGTCAGGGGTAAGATGGTCTTTATGTTGGGTTTTGAGCATTATAACAACCTTAAGGTGCACATACAACCCTAATTCTATGGATCTATGTCTTCTCTAGTTATACATGCAAAATTGTTTTCCAAAGCATGAAGGCTAAACTAACATCCAAAATTTGATAATCGAATCATAAGACTAGTTAGATTGTTTACCTCTTGGTATAGCTTGTTGTTTTTGTTGGGTTATGAGCATTCTAACACTCCTAAGTGTACATGCAACCCTAAATACCTTGGATCTATGTTTTCTCTATTATACATGCAAATATGAATATCCAAGGTATTATCCTAAACTAGCATACAAAACTATCAATATAACAAGATAGAATACATACCTCTTTGATGGTGCTTTTCTTCATGAAGCTTGAGTGCCTAGTGCCCTAAGTGTGACACCTCAAATGGTTCACAATCATCAAAACACTTAGAATAACTTAGAGAGAATTCTACACTTCATGAAATCGGCTAGCCCTTTCTTAGTCTCACTAGTGGCCGATTTTCCTCAAGAATAAGATGCTTATATAGTTATACAATTAGGGTAAACCCTAATTGTCATGACTTTCCATTTCCTTGGATCCATGGGTTCAAATACACCATGGAGCATCCATGGAGCATCATATGGGTTTTGGCCCAACTAGATAATCCATGGAGCATTAGCCCACTATACAAGTATGGATGATTTACACAATCAACCCATATATTTAATTAGTCTTCTTTTGATCACTCAATTAATGCTAGATTAATTCTTGATCAATACTAATTAAATAATCTCATCATTCTTATTATTAATATACTAGAACTTATAATATATTAATAATCATAAGTGTCTTATTTCTCTCATTTAGTCTATCCAAGTGCATGATGGTATGTAACCCAAATGGACCATGCCGGGTCGGGTCAAGTCTTACCAATTATAGTTATGGACTTAGACATTAATCCAACAGTTTTTGGCCTTTAAGAACTTAGCAACTCAAATGTGATGCATCTAATAAGTCACAAACACCACCAAAAATTGGATGACTTGAGAGAGAGGTTCCAACGCACTAAAAACGGCTATAGTATCTCTAAGTCAACTAGTCCCGAATTTTAGGCTAAGGGTTGTCATATATATATATATATATATATATATATATATATATATATATATATATATATATATAGTGTGATATACAGAGAGTCATGGGTATTAGAGCCTTGGTTTGAGGGATTTGGGCATTCTCTCGAGTGTGCATGAACTCAAACCGTGGGTTTGGTGAAATTTTTTATAAAATAAACATTTAATTAAAAAGGAGTTTTCAAACAAAGAAAAGGGTGTGATGCGTGTAATCGGGTGAGCTAAAGTAAGTGGTTCCCAGAATACTAGTACACATTTATTATGATATGATTATGTGAATTGCATGCTAGATTAGGGCTAAGGATCTACTAAGTATCATATGATAAGGGAGATGCCTTTTATGTGTAATCGGGTGAGCTAAAGTAAGTGGTTCCCAGAACCATTGTTACTCATTTGGACCATTGCCGCTGTTACTGCAGCCGTTACAGAAGCTATCAATGCGGCGTTTTCCATTGATGGAGGCGGTGGTGGTGGAGGTATCGTGCCCGGTCTGGGTCTTAGGTTAGGATGCGGAGGCATCATGCTGCCAAGAAATAAATATAAAAGATTATAAGTTTTGGTGGTTGAGAGTTAAATGATAATTATTTAACTATATTTAATAATTCAAGGATTTGGTTTGACCAACACAGGACTTTGAGTTTGATTCACCAATGGAGTTTGAATAACAATAAACAAACTCATGAACTCGAATGAAATGCACAAATTTAACACACGAAAGAGGTATGCCCTATATATATTAAACATATGGTTGTGTTACATCCGAAGTTAGAGAATTTTGACCTTTCTAAAGGTCTCTGATTACAGAAAGTTAAAGAAGGTAAGACTTTTAACCGATGGTCCTATTCTATA